GTATCAAGAGAATGGGGAAAGGGAGAGAGAGAGAAAGAGAGCCAGATGGAAGCTGTATTACCCTTTTTGACTTAGCCTCAACAGTCGCTTCTTTGCATGCTGTTGGTCATGGTATTTGTAAAGGTCTGCCCTGGTGCAAGGGGAGAGAACACAGACCCAGGTCTCAGTGGAGAAGTGTCAATGTCACCTCAAAAGGACATCCTGTAGGATGGGAGCTACACAGGTGTGGTCATGTTTGAAAAATATAATCCATCATGGCATCCAATTTCATTTTTCCACATGGATATCCAACGTACGCAGGACCAGCTATGGAAATGATAATCCTTTTCTCACTGCTTCCACATATTGAGGTCCTGTATGTGGGAGCTTCTGCTTCAAGATGCTGTTTTCTGCTACGTTGTTCTATGAGTCCCACCTTAGGCCAGGGCCACACTTTCTCAGGTATCATGGAATTATAATAAGCATAGATGTCTCATAGATCAAGTACCCACTGTGTGATTATTTTTCAAAAATGTCTTACTTCTTCTTGGCCCTTCATGTTTTCATATATATATTTTTGTGTCATTTGGTGTCAGATTCCACCCTACCCCTGGCCTCTCCTTACCCTCCTAAAAAAAAAACGTGTGGACATTTGTTTTTTGGGGGGGTTTAAGCTTTTAACTTTAAGTACAGGGGTGCATCTGCAGGTGTGTTACATACATGCATACATACATACATACATGCAGCTTGCTGTACAGCTTATGCCACCACCCAGGTGTTAAGCTCCGTGCCCATTATTGTTCCTGACGCTTTCCCCGCTTCCACCCTCCACCCTCCGATGGACCCCAGTGTGTGCTCTTCCCCTCTATGTGTCCTGTGTTCCCATCATGTAGCCCCCACTTACAAGTGAGAACATGTGGTGTTTGGTTTTTTGTTCCTGTGCTAGTTTGCTAAGGATATGGCCTCCAGCTCCAACCATGTTGCTGCAAAGGACATGATCTCGTTCTTTTTTAAGGCTACATGGTTCCATTGTGTATATGTATCATATTTTCTTTATCCAGTCTATCAGTGATTGGCATTTAGGTTGATTCCATGTCTTTGCCATTGTGAATAGGGTTGCAATGAGCATACTCATGCATTTGTTTTTATAACAGAATGATTTATATTCCTTTGGGTATATACCTAGTAACGGGATTGCGGGGTTGAATGGTATTGCTGTCTTCAGGTCTTTGAGGAATTGCCATGCTGTCTGCCACAGTGGTGGAACTAATAGTGTATAAGCATTAAAACCTATGGACACTTTGACTGGGATTGCATGAAATCTATATCCCTATTTGGGAAGAATGTATATCTTTATATATTAGCTATTTCTCATCCATAAACTTAATGAATTCTTCCATTTGGGAGGCTGAGAAGGAAGACTCACTTGAACCCAGGAGGTGGAGGTTGCAGTGAGCTGAGATCACACCATTAGACACCAGCCTGAGGGACAGAGTGAGACTCTGTCTCAAATAAACAAACAAATAAATAAATAATGCCTTCATAAAAAATTATCTTTTTCCATTATAGAAATCTTGTACATTTCGTTCAAGCTTATTTCCAGGGACTTTTTTTTTAAATGATCTGTTTTTCTGTTTTTTTTTTTTTTTNTTTTTTTTTTTTTTTTTTCCTAGTTGTTTCTGGAATGTGAAATGTAATTGATCTTTGTATATTGATTTTATATTCAGTAACTGTGTTACGTTCTTATTAATTCTAATAAATTCAACTTAGATTCTTTATGTACTGTTAGGCACACAATCATAATATCCATGAATAGTGGGGGAGTGGGAAGCAGCTCATAAAAGCGGGACACCCATGTGGGTGGTTATGAGTGGATCTGGCTCTCTCTAGTCGGTCCTTAGTCAGAAGCAGGGATGAAAATTAGGGAAGATATCAGCTGTTTATTGAATCCTGGCCACCTGGGGTCAGTTGTCACAAAGGTTCTTGTTCAGCTTCCTGGACAGGTTGCTGGAGATGGTGGCCTGCCTTCCTCCACATCGGACTTATTGACAGCAAGCTGGTCTTGGGGCTGGTCCCTGTAGGTCAGAGCCCTGTTTTTATACACGGCCTTAACATTGTCCATTTGTGTACTTGGCTTCTCACTCCGCAGCAGGTAACTAAAGGAAGCGTGGAGATCACTCATCTTCCAACCTGGCGTCTCTGTTCTCAGCTGTAAGGCTAAGTCAGTACCCCCATCTAACTCTGTCTTAAGCAGGGTCAATATTAAATGAGCCTGTTCAATGTTTTCACCTGGTTTCCAAGAAAGGGTCTGAGTGATTCGAAGAGTATTTTTTTGTTGTTGTTTAGAAATAAATTATTGCTAAAAAATGTATATCAAAGTCTGAGAAAAAATCAGCATTCAAGGTCTCTGATTTGATTGAAGAAAGCTTCGACACGGTGTCTCTATGTTGTGACACAGTCATTTTTGTCATGGGTGGGAGCTGCTTTCCTACAGAAGTGTAGGAGCCCTGCGTGACACTGGTGGAATCCAGGTAAAGGAGCTTGTGCTCAACCATAATTTCTTAAAATACATATTTTGATTTGTACCAAAGAGCTTTCATCTTCTCCTCCTTTGTAAACATCACACAGCCTTTGAGCCTGTTTGTGTTGGCTTTCACTGAACTGCCCTGGGTTTTATCAGCCCAGAGACATTCCCTCCAGGACTCCTCCAGGTGCCACCTCCACAGCAGTAATCAGGGCAAAGCTTAATTAGAGACAAAAACTTCCAGAAAGGGCAACTCCATCCCTTTTTACGGTAAAATAAACACATTTCCAAAAGGGGCCTTTCCTTTAATTAAATTCTCTGCAATGTGGCAGCTGCTTGGGAGGTATTTTTGCATATTTGAGTTTAGGAAGATGTATGTGCATAGAGGTGATGTCACATTTGGAATGATGCGTGTTTATAAGACCAAGTTTACGAGTTTACTAACTTGCAATCCAGCTATCTTCATACCAGAAGGAGACAAGGCAGCGTCCAAGCTGGGCCTTCCCACAACCAGTCATCTCGTAAAAACAGGCGAGGTGGCCTCGGGAGAGACACAAATGTCTAGGGCGCGACACAGAAACTGAACAGGAATGTGGGGATGGGGGCTGCCGGCCCCTGGCGCTCAGAGTGAAGCCCCACCATGGAGCTGGGGCCCAGGGAGCTTACGGATTTATGCCAGAGGTTATCCAGGATAGATGTGTTCAGCCTGGGCACGCAATCAAAGCCCACACGGGCCCCTCAGGGAGGGTCTTTCCCTCCTGCTGGCAGGCAGGGTCCCCAGCGCCCCCTGACCTCGGCCTTGCAATTGTGCAAACCTCAGGGCGGTTCATCTCAGACTCCGCGCCGGTGCTGCAGCGTCAAGAAGACCCTTTTAGGGGGTCAGTATGGGTCTTCTAATTTAACCCTCTCCTCTGCCACAGCCACCAAAGCCAGAACCCATCCCTGCCAAGCTCCTGCAGAGGCGCTCACGTGGCCTTCAAGAGGATTCACCAAGGTCACCTGTGTCACAGCCGGGGACAGCTCCCTCCCACCCAAGAAAGCTCAAAGGCAAAACCTGCGCCAGGAGGGGTCCCTCCGCCCGCCCGTGGTGCTGCAGTGCACAGGCTGCACCCTGACTGGCAGAGCCGGGGGGCTTCCAGTGGCGCGGCCTGGGAGGGAAGGGGTCCAGCCCGTCGGGGCCTCCGGGACAGCTCTCCTGGGATGCTCAGGGCCGTGCACCGTCACACCCTGGCACACTGGTGCCCACGCCCCCCGAGGATGGGGGGATGCAGGGTGGGGGGCTGACGGGGGTGGGAGAGGCAGAGAGGCAGACCATAGGGAGGGCACTTGCCTTGGAGGGAGGAGGGGCACTTGCCCATCCAACAGCCCCAAAGTGCAAATGCAGGCACCGGGACCCTCTCGGTGACCCAGGACATGCTCAAGTCACCTTCTTCCTGGCACACACACACACACACACACACACACACACTCACACACACACCTAAATTCAAAACTATCCCAGGCCGTTTGGGGTGCAAGGCTTGCTCTCCCCCGGGGCTGTGTCCTTGCACGAGGGCTCCAAGCTCAGGACAGGTGGGGTCAGACAGGGACTGAGGCACGGCAGCGCGTGGGGTCCATGCAGGCCCGGGGGCAGGTGCATGGGGCGACCGCAGAGCACCAGGACAGACGGTTCGCGTCAGTGTTCCCTCCAAGAGCCCCTCCTGGACGCCTGTGCCGCTGCACAGCCACGTTTGTCCTCTTCAGGTGGAAACAGGGCCAATCTGATACTTCCCAGTCCGCCCCATGCACCCCCAGCCCCTGCACCCATGCAGGTGGGCGCTGCCCACCCTGTCTCCTTCCCCTGCAGCATCACCTGCCATCTGCACTGGCACCTGCTGCTGCTCTCCAAGTACACGTGGGGACGCTCACTTGTGGGGACGCTCACTCGTGGGCGCAGGAGAAGGATCTGGAGGACCAGGAAGAGGGAGGCCGGGCCCTTTTCTGCGGCATCAGAGACCTGTGCCTCCTGTATCACACCCGGTAGAGACAGCCCTGGATTTTAGAGCCAGTAACGCCTTGAGTCACTGTGGAAAGCTCTGTCCCATTCCTGCGAAGACCTTCCCTCTTCTGCCTAGTTCGGGCATCCAGATCCGAGGGCATGCTGGGACCAGAGCATCTGACTCCCGGGATGCCTCGTGACCCCAAGAAAGGAGCATAAATGTGGCCTAGCAAGAATGCTCTTCTCACCCTCAGCACCCTCCCCTCCGCAAGCATCACCGGTGAGGGGCACACGCAGGGCACGCTGCCGAAACAGAATTTGAGAACACAAAAAACAATACAAGGCTTATTTCTTAGCATGTTGAGTGGAGAGGGGGTCAAAACAAAACAAAAAACCGAACTAAATGGGTTTCGCAACGGGAGGAGGAAGGGGCTTTGTGAGTGCCCGAGGAGAATCTAATTAGAGACTTCAACTAGAGCTCTGCAAATGAATTATTTACAATTCTTCAGAGGGAAATGATTATAATAATAACCTTTACAATGCCAAAATTAAACTTATTATGCTCTTTTCGTCCGCCCCAGAAATTCTCTGAAGTCTGTCATCAGGAGAGATGCAGGGAGCAAGCCCTGCCGCCCGCTCGGGGCAGCGCTTGGGGCCAGCCTCGGGCCCTGGCTCAGCCCAGAGTCGCAGAGGTGGTGAGCCGGGCGTTTGAAAGGGAAAGCCAGCAAGCGCGTCCCTCTGCCCTTTGTTTCTGTCTCCTGACTTGAGGATGCTCTCGGTCAGGCTTGAGGAGTTGTAGAGGCTCCAAGAAGAAATCCCAGCATCTGCTCCTAGGGCGGGCAGGCCCTGGAACTGCTGAATTTAAAATAAGCTGTGTGAACGGAATGAGAAGAGGGTGGGAAGGCTATAAAAATTCGACTCCAAGCAGGAGATTCATCATGGCCTCCTCAGCACGTGCGGCTCATGTTGGAAATTGAGGGTCAGTCTGTTTAGAAATCAGCATATCCCAGGGGCTAAGCGGCTGATGCTGGTCCTCACAGATCCCCCACAGGGGTGCAAAGGGTAAATTCTACACCTCAGCACCCCTCTTCAGGCCCTGCATGGCTGTCCTTCGATTTCATTAACTTTCTTCTCCACGTGGGCCAGGCCTCCGCCTAGCCCTTTCCTGCCTCAGCTCCCCCAGGGCACAGCTGCAGCTAGGCTGACTCTGCAGGTTCTTTGGCACTGCGGTGCCCACGTCTGGTCACTGCACCCCAGCCCGCCTCCCAACTCCACACCACACCTGTCGTAGGTGAATGGTGGCCCCACAAAAGATACGCCCACGTCCCAACACCTGTGAATGTTTCCTTATTTGGAGCAAGGACCTTTACGATGTGATTACATGAAGGATGTTCAGATGACATGATCCCAGGTGATCTGGGAAGATCCTAAGCAGCCAATGACAGATGTCCTCCTAAGAGACAAGGGGAAGACACAGGAAGAGGAAAGGGCCATGCTGGTGCGGAGATGGAGGCAGAGACGGAGAAGAGGTTGGAGCCACCAGAGGGTGGAAGAGACGAGAGTATTCTCCACGAGACCCTTTGGGGAAGCACAGCCCTGACACACCTTCATTTGGGACCTCTGTCCCCCAGAGCTGAAGAGAGCAAGTTCCTGTTGCTGAAGGCACCCAGGTCATCGTCCTTTGTGGCAGCCCCAGTCCCGTCAGCCTTCCCCAGTAATCTGTCCCCATCTGTCTCTGCCATCCGCCTCCCTCCCTGAGAACACGGTGGTGGGCAGTCACACCCTGCCCCACCTGCTCACTCACACAGCCTCATCCTTGGCCCATCTGTAAACTGGTACCTGCTTGAGCAGGACCCTGGCTGCAAGTGCTGGAATCCGACTGCACTCAGTGTCAGCCAGAACAGCCTGATGGGCTCAGGGGCCCAGCAAGGGCAGGGAGGCCCACAGCAGGAGATGCGGGGCCCTCTTGCCAGTTGCAGCCAGAAAACACAGGAGGGCCTGTGATGAGCTCTAGCTAGGTCGGGTGTGCAGCCACGTCTCATCCCTGGGGCAGTCCCTGGGACAATACGGACGGCTCAGCCTTGGACCAGGTTGTGCAGGCAGCTCCGGGCTACCAAGCAGGAGGGAGCAGCAAAGACATGGAGGTAGGCTGTGCTAGTGAGGACTCTCCGGAGTGCAGAACCAACAGAATGTATGCCAGGGAGCTCAGCAGGGAGAACTGGCTCATAGGATTACCAGGCAAAGCCCCACAGTGGGCTGTCGGCAGACTTGGAAAAGAGGGAAGCCAATGGTGTGGCCCAGTCTGAGTCCAAAAGTCTCAAAGCCAGGGAAGCTGGCGGTACAGCCCTCAGCCTGCGGTCAAAGGCCCGAGAGCCCCCGGGAGGCTACTGGTGCAAGTCCCAGCGTCCAAAGGCTGGAGAGCCTGGAGTCTGATGTCCAAAGGCAGGAGGAGAAGACGCAAGCAGCAGGCGTGGGAAGAGAATGCAGACTCAGTCAGTGCGTATCCCCCTTCTTCCGCCTGCTTTGTGCCAGCTGCACCGGAAGCCGATTGGATGGTGCCCACCCACACTGAGGGTGGGTCTTCCCCTCCCAGTCCACCGACTAGAATGTCAGCCCCAGCCAGCATTACCCTCACAGACACACCCGGGAACAATGCTTCCCACAGATCTAGGCATTCCTCAATCCAGTCAAGTTGACACTATTAACCATCATGCGGATGAAAAAGATCCAAACCCTATAAAATATTTGAAGAGATTTATTTCCAGCCAAATGTGAGGACCATGACCCGTCACGTGGCCACAGGAGGTCCTGAGAACATGTGTCCAAGGTGGTTGGCTTGCAACGCGGTTGTGTATGTTTTAGGGAGACAGAAGACATCACCCAAGTATGTGAGGCGTGCATTGGTTCAGTCCAGAAAGTCGAACAACGTGGAGTGCAGTGGGGGCTTACAGATCACAAGCGGATTCAAAGATTTTCTGATTGGCGATTGGTTAAAAAGTTTCAGTTATCATCCAGAGAGCTGGAATCAATAGAAAGGAATGCCTGGGTTAAGATAAGGGGTTGTGGAAACCAAGGTTTTTATTATATAGATGAGGTCTCTTAGATGGCTACCCCTGGAGGCAATGGAGACCTTTAGAAGGTTTTAGATTCTCAGTTAATCTCTTTAGGAGCAGAAAACAAAGACCCGAAAAAAGAGGAGAATTCTTCCATCACAAGAGACAGCTTTGCAGGGCCATTTCAAGATACGTAAAATAAATACATTTTGGGATAAAATACTTTGATATTTCTTCAGAACCTGCTGTCATTTGATGCTACACTAAAGCCAGGTTGGAATTT